GGGCGAGTGCGCAGGCGCGGGGAAGGGCTGCGGGCTCAGGCCCGGGGCCTGGCGGGCGCGCAGTGATGGGGCTGGTGCGAGGGTGCGAATCCTGGGCGGCATATGCAGCGGAAGGAGCCGTCCGTGTTGACGCAGCGCGCGTTGACGCAGAGCGGAGCGTCCACCTCGGCCTCATCGCACTCGTTGATGTCTGGAGAGGACACAAGGAGGCGGCTCGGGACGTGCGCCGTTTGCAGGCGAGTCCACCGCCACCAGAATCTGGCTGGCTGTGTGAGTCTGGGCAGGTGGCGCAGCCTCTCTGTGCTATAGCTGTGCTCTGTAAGATGAGCGCCCCTGGGTGCCTAGGTTTCTTTCTTCTTCTTTTTTCTTTTTTTGGAAGTAATACAGTGGTTATGGCAACAGCGACAAATGCTTGCTCTGTACCAGCCAGTGTTTGAAACGCATTTTCTGTGTTAATTTTATCCTCCTACGACCCTACCAGGCAGGTACTGTGATCCAGCGTCAGAGGCCCAGCGCTGACGGCCCCTGCCCGGGATCACCAGCAAGCCCGTGGGTCCGCGGACAGTGGGCACACGGGTGCCCAGCCCCTTCCTGTTTCTTCGCTGAGACCTAGGGCAACTCAATTCTCTTTTCTGAACCTCGGTTTACATCTCGGCCTCAGTGTCACAATAAATCAGCTTCTCAGGCCATGCTCCTTTTTCAGATGAGAAAAATGAAGCAAGGAGTGAAGCTGGACCCTCCCTGCGTGTCCAGGGTCACGCAGCAGCACGGCTGGACTGAACTGGAGGCTACCCAATTTCCCAAGTTCTTGATTCCCACATTATCACTGGCTAAACAAGGCAGACAGCATTAATATATCATTTTACAGACAGAAAGACAGAAGCTCTCCAAAGAGGTCAAGCAAAGTTGCCCCAGGTAGCACTGGGGGTCCTTAACTCATACCTGCAGGGTTCTGCCATTCCGTTCTGCTTCCCGTCCTGCGCCCAACTTTGATTTCCTCACCCCCGGGCCTGGCCTGGCCTGACTCCAGAATTACTTCTTGCACCCTCCCTGCCGGCCAATCTCCTCTAGGACGGCTCTGTCCCGGGGGTTGCCGACCCCATCGCAAGACTTCCTCCCTCTCCCCATGCACGCGGGTCCCGTCCCTCACCAACGCAGGCCATGCGGGTCATGTCCAGCCGGTAGCCGTCAAAACAGTCGCAGGTGAAGCCCTCCGGGACTCGCACACAGCGGCCATGGGCGCAGCCGTCCAGGATCCCACACTCCTCTGCCTCCAGCCCTTCGTAGGGCCCAGCCAGGGCGCCTGGGGAAATGCACTCCACGGTGGGTTGGGGTCTGTCTACTGTTCTTAATGCCCTCGGGTGGGTCCCCCACGCCCCACAGTTCTAAACTGTGTCCCGCTTCGGACTGGGGGGGCGGGTGGTGCCCTGGAGCCCCGCTCCGGGCTGTGGGGGGCGCTGTGGAGCCTCAAAGCTTACAGCTGCTCCCCCAGGCTTTCTCCGGTTCCCCATCTCTCCAAGCCGGCTTCCTCCCCTTATCCCTCCCTCTCACCTCCCTGGTCTGCATCTGCACACCTCTCGCCTCATCTGTTTGCCTCACTGGGCCCACAGTGCTCACCCGCGTAGCCTCCGCCTTCAGGTGACTCCTCAGGCTCTGGGAAGGAGCCCCGGGTGTCCCGGGGCCGATAGCGCCAGCGGGTGCCCGGGCCGGGTGGCACAGGAGCCTCGGGTTCACCATAGGGGACCCCATCGTCCTCAAAGTCCGGCATGTCATAGGGTGGTGCTCCATACGGGGCCTCCCGGCGGGCGAAAGGCCCAGGTGGCGGTGGGTAGGGGTCGTAGGGGAGCACGGGCGGGTACAGCTCGGGGCCATAGGGGAGGCCCTGGTACGGCGGGCCTAAGTCTGGGCCATATTCGTAGGGGAGTCCGAAGCCACCGGGCCGCGGGGGGCTATAGGCAGGAGGGCGCAGCACATTGCACAGAGCCTCAAAGTCATCTGCAGACAGGAACCAAGCCTGAGTCAGTCCCCACCATTCATGGCCTCTAGCCGCCCTTTCCCCAGCATACAGGAGTGAACCCCTAGGGACTTTGGATGAAGCAGGGAGGGGCACAAAGGAAGGGGGTGTTGGAGGCGGAGTCGGGGTTCTGGAGCAGGGAGTGAGGCTTGAGGGTGGAGGCTGTGAGCCCCAGTGGGGTCAAGAATACTAGATTACAGTCAGGAATCAGGGCCCAACTGCTGGAATTTGGGCTGGCCGTGGAAGCTGGGACTGGGGGCCACAGGTATGGGGTGGGGGTGTTTTAGGAAGCAAGACGAGGCAGTTCCTGGGACTGTTACTAAGAGTCTGAACCCCCAGGATGCAGGGAGAGGTTGGGGACTGGGGGGCTGTAACCTGAGGCTGGGACTGCGTTCCCAAAGGCTGAGGGTGGGGGACTCAGGGATTTTAAGAGCCAAGACGTGAGGGCCTCTGGGGATGTGTTGGGGTCATAGGCACCTGAATGTGGGGGGTCTCAGGCACTGGGACTTAGAAGTCTGTGAGCCAGGATGACGAGGTCTGAGCGACTGGTATCTGAGGTGTGTGGGTGCAGGCTTTGGAGGAGGGGCTCTCGTGAGTGGGGTCAGGCAGTTTTAGGGACCAGGGGTTGAGTGAGGGTCTGAGACCAGATCTCCGGGGCTTATGGGGGCTGCCCAGCCAGGCTGTGGGATTACTGTGGTTGAGACCTGGAGGACCTCGGGGTGTAACTTGGGGTCTGACCCCAGATCTAGAGATGGGCTGGGGTTAGGGGCCTGAGTTTGGGAGATCTGAGAGGTGAAGCTAAGGCTGGTGTCCCAGGGCCTGGACTTGGAGACCGAGGGAGGGCAGTACCTGAGTCCTGGGCGGGGCAGAGGGCGCAGTCCATGCCCCAGGCCTCCCCATAGAGGCAGCAGCATTCTGTGTAGGTGGCCTGGCGGTCCAGCCGGGGACGGCTGCACACAAGGTCAGCTCCTACTTCCTGCCAGCACACTCCCAGATTGTCGTCTGCGGGTGAGACAGCATCTCTCAGGGTGGGGCCTCCCCTGCTGGAGCAGCAGGTCTCTGCCTGTCACCCACCCCCCAGCTTCTGTGCCCTGACTCCCAGGAGCCCTGGACACAGCTCCGGGGCTCTGGATTAAAGACAGGGCTTGGTCCGGCATGAGGCCATCACATTTGAGAGCTGAGCAGGAAGGGCTGGTGGCTGGGAGGTGGGGTCTGAGGGTGGAGCTCTGGAGGGCTGTGTGACCTGGGGCAGCTGCTCTTCCTCTCTGGGCATTGTTTAAAGGAAGACGGGGCGGGGGCGATTTGGGTCACTGAGTTAAGAGAGAGGAAGAAAGGACCCAAAGACAGGGACAAACATCCCAAGAATCACTCAAAAGGAAAACAGGAAGGCACAAGGGGATTGCAACTGAGATGGAAAAATACACAAAAATATGTAAAAATAAACTATTTTAAAATTTAAAAAATAATTAAATATAAACCAGGAAAGCCAAGATGCAGTGAGATGAACGAAACAGCCCTATCACAAAGAAAAGTGCGGTGGGTGTCACACATTCCGATTGAAACTTGAAGACAGAAACTCAGAGAGGCAGACAGACGACGCAAGGAATCCAGGAAGCCCTCATCTGGCCCTTAGCGCAGGATGCACGCGGCCCTCACAGTCACCGATAAAGCCCGGCCGTAGTGCAAAAGCGGGTCCCGAAGGGGCGATGAGCGACGTGCCGCTTCACACACAGGGCCAGTAAATGGCAGGCGTCTCTAAAACCTTTCCGGGAACCTCCGGGAACCACCAGGCCAGCTGGCTGCTCAGAATCTCATCTAGAGACGCAGGCTAAAGGCAGCTGGAGGGGGCCGGGCGGAATCAAGCGTGAGAGGCGTGGCCTTGGCGAGGGCGTGGCCTGGAGCCGTCGAGCCGGGGAGGGGCGGGGCGAGGTGGGGGCGTGGCCTGGAGCCGCCGAGCCCGGGGCGGGGCGAGGTGAGGGCGGGGCGGGGTTACCCAGGCTCTGGCTCTCGTTGGAGACGCAGCGGCGGCGCGAGCCGTCCAGCACCAGCGGGGGCTCGCACGTGCAGTGGTAAGAGCCCACCGTGTTGACGCAGCGGCCGCCTTCGCACGCCGGCTCCTCGTCCGCACACTCGTCGTTATCTAGGGAGGCAGTGCAGGGAGGGCCATTTCCCCTGTGCAATGTGACAGATGGGGTCCGGACTCCACACCCCCCAGCCCCACCGACTTCCCGCAGGCAGTGGCCACATTCCAGAGAAGGGTTTGGGAGAGCCAGGAGGGTGGATCTGGAAGATGGAGGGCTCTCGTACCCACACACTCCAGTCTCTGGGCATGGTAGTAGTAGCCGTTGCTGCAGTAACAGGAGTAGCCCGGGGCGGTGTTCACGCACACGCCGCTCTTGCACACCTGGTCCCGGAAGAGCTGGCACTCGTCCACATCTGTGGGGAAGATAGCCAGAGGCGTGTCCCCCAGGGAGAGATGGGGCAGGATGGGCTATGACTTCAGGGCATGGCCAAGGAGGAGGAATAGAGATGGCGGCGGGGTGGCAGAGAACAGACTGGCGGCGGGTGGGGCAGACATAGAGAAACAGGTGACACAGAGACACAGGAACCGCACAGGGGCAGGTTGGAAGGGGGTTGTGAGTGGGTGGGGCCTGAAGTGTGGCCTCACCTCTCCTGAGGCTCGGGTCTCCACTGGGCGCCAGGTAGCCCCGGCCGTGGGGGCACAGTGACTGGTACTCGGCTGCACACAGAGATGAGGCTGAATGTGGCGCCCTGGACCGGCCCCTGCCCAGGGCCCGGCCCGCTCACCCCACGTCAGAGCTTGCATGCGCCCTGCCCTCCCGTCAACACCCCAGTCTGCAGCCTCTGTGTCCCCCTCTCCCCTCATGTCCACCTGCACCCACCTGTCTGGCAGCTCACTCTTGTCCCAGCACTCAGCCTGTGTCCAAATGTGCCCCCTGTCCCAGCCCCATGCCCACCTGCTCTAACCAAGCCTCGG